ACCCTGATTTTTACCCAGCGCCCAGCAGACGCCAGCAACAAGCTGACAAACCGGCGCATAAAACATACGAAAGTATAACAGCAAAAATTGCAGTAAAATTTGTCTATGAATTTTCATGCAATTTGCGAAAGTGACTGCCGCTTCTTCTTACCACCACTACAACAATAAAAACAAAAAAATGGAAATCGCAAATTTTCGCAAGGATTAGAATCTGCCGGGGCACTAGGCGCACAGCGTAGCCCATAAGGCCGCAGAGCTGAAATTAGCAACACTGTTTCCAAATTGCTAAAGCAAAGGTTGAAAAAAAAAATCTATTGAAGATCACTGATTTCACATTTCGGCGTTTCATTGTTAACTTTTCAATGACAACAAAGATAGTAGAAGCAGAAAGGACGGCGATACATTACAATGTGCCGCTTGAAAATCTACCCCTGAGGTAAGCGGGCAACTGGGAAAACAGAGTTACAATTAGAATTCTTAAAGTGTTTGGCACATAAAGAGAACGAAAAATAAAAAAAGTAAGTGATTCACAACAACAATAGAAATAGTTCCACAAAAGCATTTTTCTTTTCATAAAAAAAAGGTCTCTTCAATAAAACCAGATTTTTCTCCTTTGCTCYTCTCTGTTAAACTCAACTACAAGTAGTTAAGAAACTTTTTAATTTTAAGACACTTGATTTTAAGTCATCTGAATACTATGTTCGGGAATTGTGGCGTTATCTTGAAAAATTAACAATCATACAAGAACTAAASTTTAATATAGAGTAATCGAAAAAGTCTTTTCGTATTACTAATCACATTTCAACATTTTTTTATTTTTTATTTATAATAAATTTTAATGAACCAAATATGCACCATCTTGGTGGACCACTCTTTGCCATTTTTCCGCTAGAGACATTATTCAATCAATGAAAAACTTTCGTTTCTCGGCGAAAAACTGCGACAAGTAATTTTCTCAGGCTGCTCTCGAAGCCAACTTTGCTCCTTTAAGGGAGTTATGCATTAACCGAAACAAATGGTAGTCTGCTGTTGCAAGTATGCGCTACATGATGCATGCATCGAAACTTCCCAGCCAATCTCTCCCAGTTTTTGACGAGTCTACAAAGCTGTGTGTGGTCTGGCGTTGGCCTGATGGAAACCCTTTTATGATCAGTTCCCACCGTTTTTTTGCCGATTGCTTGTTTCAATTTCATCAGTGTTGGACAGTAAAATATAGAATCAATCATTCGATCAGGCTAGAGCAGCTCATAGTGGATGATTCCTTTCCAATCCCACCAAACAATCAGCATAACTCTTTGAGGCGTCAATCCTGGCCTTGCGACCATTTATTGAGCTTCATAACGGTTGAACGATGATATTTTTCGCACATTATTGTCGTATTTGAGACACTTTTCATTTCCTGTTACCATTCGCTTCAGAAATGCTTCGATTTCATTTCGTTTCAGCAAAGAATCGCAGRTGTTAATTAGRTCCATTAAATTTTTCATTGATTATTTGATGTTATGATGAATGTTAAGTTTCTGAGCGATGTCCAGATATAAGGGAATATATGGTACAATATAATAAATACAATAATAAATAGGTTGAAATCTTCAGTCAAATTAAAATTTAAACCAAAAACTTGGGTTCGTCTTTCATAGCCAACTAAAACACAACTTCGTATGTAAATTCCACAGATTAAAGGCAAAAATCATCATTATTTAAACTGACCACTCACCGTGGACTTACAAAAACAGCCGGAGAGAGACAAGGTCACACATCTAAAGTTCGATTGGAAATTATCTATTACTGAGTCAACGAACTCCATCAGCTGACKGGAAATTATCACAAGGAGAGAGTGACGTATTTCGAAACAAATAAATAGAAACGAAATTGAGTTTTTATAAAGTTATATACATACAAACCCTCAAATTAGCACGAAATTATTGAAAGCAGCTTCCAATAGCACCCTAATTGAGTAGATAGATTGGATTAACAAGCTACTGCAACTCCAATTAAAATCGTATCCTCCAAAATTAACAACATTCCAGCTCACTAATTGGAAGTTTCTACCAGAYGCGCAGCAAAACTAGCAGACGAACTGGAATAAACCACATAATTACCGTAAGGAAGTGASATAAAACCCAAAAGAAGCGATCTTATGCGATCTACAAAACAACAATGGCATACAAGAAAGGTTAATTGACTGAAAAGAAAAGTCTTATGACAYTGCAACGTTTTCTGTGAGTGCTGTTAAGGGATGAAAACTGTTCGTGATCACACATACATATGYGCATWATGAGGAATCCACAAGAGCAAGCAAGTCTAAAACAAGTTTGGTGTAAAGAACACAATAGTTTCATTGCCACATCGCTCTACTGTGTGCGCAGCCTAAGCAACTGCTTATTTATACTACATACATTTATATGTATGGCATATCTCTCACTTTCGAGTCGCTGCCACACAATTTCGTGTTGTGTAATTTATAGCCATTGCAATTTATTTGCGCCCGGCTGTTGTTGGCGTGTTAAGTTGACGTTGAATTTCTCATTCGCAGTCCATTTCGAAGTGACTTATAAAATATTATGCATTTTACAAGAATACCAAAGCTAATTAGGACGTATAAAATACCACATGTCCTATTTAAATTACATCCCTAATTGGCTTCGTTTGTCGCTTTGTCTGTTCGTCTTGTCGTCGGTGTGGTCCGTCCGCTGTTTGTCTGGCTTCCATCTCGGCATGTTAATTGGAAAGTTCGACTAGGCGCACAGCGCACACGACAGCTGTACAACTTTACGAGCGTGGCAAGTTACAAAAACAATATGAAGAAATAATTTCTTAGTGGATATTTTATACGAGACTGAAAACACAAACAACCACACACACATACCCAGCAATGAAATGCAACATGAGGACGTAAGAAAGGAGAGGGAGGGAGGGTTTTTAATTTATTTAGGTAGCATTTATGCATTGTTAGCTAATTGGATGAATTCATTAGGCGCACAGAACTGGCAGCAAAACGCAGCCTGGTAATTTACTAATTAGTTTTATGTTGAAGTTATAGGAAGACAAGTAAGGGGGGATTGTGTTCGAATAGTGCCGAAAACGTTGTGGCTGCAAAATTTGCMAAAAAATTGTAACAGAATTATGTCTTGCAGGCTGACGTGGTTATTGTGCTGCATTGACTTATGGTTAGAGTACTAGACTTCACTGATTTACTCAAGATGGAGATCAAGATTGGATCCSCTCTATCTTCTCAAAATGCTTRTCTTTCATCGGTCTTTTCAGGCAAGGAAACAAAAAAAGACCCGGGCTATATGGCGGCTGCGGAAGCGTTGGGATGCCGGCCTTGGTGAGGTAGCTGTTTACAAGAAAAGCGGTGGGAGCCGGGACGTTGTCGTGTTGCAACTTCCAATCGGCTGCATTATCTTGTCGGACCTGATTAGCCTGTCGACTCTWCACATCTCGTTAGKCGGTATGAGCCATATTTTAAGYGAAATTTTGGGTTTTAGAAAGWTGTGTGCACAATGSGTGCCGCAATCGCTAACAATGGAACAAAAACCCATTMGAATGCGAGTTGCTYAGCAACATTTGGAGCGTTTTAAAAAGAATAAAGTGGATTTAGTGCTTCGATTCATCACTATCAATGAGACTTGGGTCTATCAACATGATTTTGAATCAAAACAAGAGGCTAAAGAGTGATGTGAACYTGGTTGTTCGGCTTCGAAACGATTTCGAGTCCGGAAATCGGCCAAGAAGGTTATGACATTAGTTTTTTGAGATGCGAGAGGAATTTGGTTTGTGACCTTATTATTGTAACCTTTTGAAGGAAAAAATCCGTGAAAATATACTCGGTTTGCAAAAATCCTTTTTTTACCATGACAGGCCAAGAATTAAAGTTCGAATTGTTGGAGCATCCACCGTATTTAGCAAATTTGGCAACCAGCGACTTCCATTTGTTTCAAGAACTTAAAAAATTTATGCGTGGCAAGCGTTTTTCAAGACGTTCGGCTGTTGAAGCGTATTTTGCAGAGCTTCCGGACTCTCACTTCAGGGATAGGATCCACAAATCGGAGGATCGTGGAAGCAAATGTATTATTTGTTCAGGGAGATTATACTGAATAACAAAGTGTATTTTGAACCAAAAATAAATTGTGTTTTTCTTATCAAACGGCAAAACTTATTGAACAAACTGATACATATATTAGGTTGTCAAAAAAGTCTTGCGGTATTTCTTGCGGTATTTTTATTGAATTTTCAATTGTTCATAACATTTTTTTTGATGACTCATGCCCAGCTCTTCACCGATGCTACGGCTGCTACTATGCCGGTCTCTTTCGACAAATTCAGCGATTTTGTCGCAATTTTCGACGACAGGCCTTCCGGAGCGTGGCGTATCTTCGACCACCTCTACACCAGAACGAAAACGTTTAAACCATCATTGTGCGGTGGAAAGGGAAACTGTATCGGATCCATAAACTGCACAAGTTTTATTGGCGGCTTGAGATGCATTTTTGCCTTTATCGTAGTAGTACTGTAAAATATGCCGTATTTTCTCTTTAYTTTGCTCCATGTTTGCGACGCTATAACTCACGAACGACTTWAAAGAAACGACAATCAATCAAACACGTGTTAGCGCGTGAAATGAGTTTTCCAAAAAGGTAGCATGATCCGATGCGACGAATAAAACTACAACTACGCGCTCTCAGCGCCAACTAGCGAAAATACCGCAAGACTTTTTTGACAAACAATATAAAAGTCACACTAAGTCTTATTAAACTTAAAGAACACTCTAATACACAAAAGAKTGAGACCAATTTTGAAGATTGGTATTTAATTGAATAAGCGATAAGCACAATTATTGAGAATTTGCAAAATGTTTTGACCTGTCAACAATTTTAAAGTAAAGTTTAATTCACAGAAAAATAAATATTATTTTTAATCAGCGCTAACCGGAAGAGATTACGAGCAGTATATAAGGCAACGCAGTCGATTTAAAATATTCATATTCAACAGTTGAATGCTAAGTGAAATTACGCAATTTAAAATAATGAAATTGATCGCATTCATCCTTTTTGCTTTACTCAGCCTGGGACAATGCGGAATAATAAAGACAATAAAACGTAATATTTATATGCAGCAATCAATTATTTTATTATTTAGTTTATTGATTTTTTTAATATATTTAACATATACAACAGCTTATCCTCACATTGCTCCGGCAAGTGGTATCCTGTATAAAAATGTTCATTCACAGAAGAAGTCTAATCGTACAGACGTTCAGATAGATACAACAAATTATACTCCACTGGTTCTGCAACATGGTATTAAGGAAACTTATACCCGTCCACTTATAACACAGTATAAGCGTCCAGACGTTCTAATTAACAACTCGCCGAATTAGATAAACGTGTATAATAAATCCCCACTTTAAAATATTCCTGTACCTRATTGGCCCGAATATTGATTTAACAATTAATAATAAATAAAACCAAAATGCAAACATGTTAATCAAAATCAGGGATACTTCACTTGCTTTAAAATAAAGTTCATGTATGAGTTTAACCTTTATAAAGACCGGTATAGATRGTATGTAGCTTCTGCTGAACGAAAGTTCTATTTGTGTGGAAAAGTCGTATTTATGTGTAAAGTTAATTCTACAATATTTTTTTTCCTGCTGAGTTATCTCAATGAAAATGAGTTAGCATGTTTTACTCATAATGGTGTATCTTTGTGCCAAAACTGCATAAATTTGAGCGGAAACTTKACTTACCCCTCACATAACTTATGTATATCATGATTTTCGAAATTCCGAGTGACTTTACATGCTATTCTACCAAGCTTGCGATTTTGTATGTGTTTTTTTTTATAATTTTTTTTTTTTTTGAATTTAAGTTTATGTAAATGATTTTTATAATTTTTTTGTATTTAAGTTTATGATTTTTATAATTTTTTTTGTATTCAAGTTTATGTAAAAGAGTTTTGATTTCCATTTTCTTACTTTTATGAAAGTTTGCTTTAAACGTACTTTTATTCAGGCACATCATATTAATATCAACTATGACGTCAAAATATTATGGAATTGTGGGTGTTTGAAAATGGTTCATTTGCTGATAAAGCTAAAAAAGTATGTGACAACATAAACCGTATATTTTAATCGGATGGCTGCGAATATGTTGAAAATATTGTTATAAAAATACTTGATTACATTTTTAAGAGATTTGGAGAAATGTGGAAGAAAAGCAACGGAACAAAATCAAAAGTTATCCAAAAAAAAAATTTAATTGGTTTGCATAATATGAATATATATTCGACAATCATCTGCATTGAATCAAGAGCGAAGACGTCCGATATTAAGTCTGTTAGAGTTCTCAAAGTGCACAGTGAGGACAAAGCGGCGAAGGATACCGGATTTARCAGAACTCGATGTGACCGCTGTTGATGATTTGTATTCGACTTGTAGTAAACCGAATCCATCTACCTTTCACGCAAAGACGTGTGAAGTAATATCAGTCATCACCGAAGCAAAATTAACAAAGCAGTTAGAAGTTTCGTTAACAATAAACTTGATATTAACTTTTTACCCTGCAATGATGACATTTTAAATGAAAAGCAGAAAACTTATCCTGAGCAAATAAAAGTTTCTGAACCGTATGCTGAAGTTGAAAGTTATTGGACCTATTACGTCGCGTATTTTCGAATTATAAATGTTCTTACAACAATGATGACATTTGTAGTAAAGATCATTGATGGCTTAAAACAAGGTACCGGAAATAATCAGATTTTTGCTGAGAAAACTGGAACGTACACAAAAAACTTGTTCTTCGTTGAGCCGGATACTCACAGTATCAAATAGTATTGCATAKTTTAAGGCGAATAAACAGTAGTTCTTTGTTAACTGTGAAAATTCTTTTGTTAATGTGTTAGGTAATGAACATCTCATGATTTTTTCATGTGCGTGAGAAAATTCCATATACCTCATGCTGAGCAAATACCAATCTTAATAGGCAAGCAGAAAGCACTTAATGTGGCACAGGAATGGTACGTGCTCAAAATGTTACGATCAAGACACCACGAAAAATGTTCAATACGCCACCAACAGCCCCGATCGAGCGCACAAGTGTCGTAAGAAATATTGTTTACATTTTAGAAAATTAAGACGCCACTAATAACAGGCGAACAGCAAATATAAAGGCATCCTTAAGTGTCATGAACTGCTTGTTTACAATGTAAATGAAAGAATTTCCTTCGATCGTCTAAAATTTGTCGCAGATCAAATGTTRGCCGTTAAGAGTTTGTTGCAAAATTGTGAGAAAAGTCAGCAGTGCAGTGAATTTAAGACTTTTTTTAATCAACCGGAAATTCTTAAACGTAAAATGCCTTTTTATGATTTTCACATACTTTTAGGATTGCATTAAAGCGTGAGAAATACTAGAACTACCAGATATTATCGTGAGAGTTTTTCCTTTATCTCTCGAAAATTGAATACCAACTTTACTAGGCGAGCAGAAAATGCATAGCTGTTTCTATTTGAAAAACAGCGCAACAACGAAAATTGTTGGTTAAAAACTACCTGAGGATTTGAGGGTCGTGTGATTTCTATGCTTTTTGTCGTGTGCGCCAAAAAAAATGTATGTTCATTTCAGTTATGCTGTGCGTTTTCATTTGAGATACCTTTCCAAAACGCCGTGGGAAAAATTGGAAAATCTATCTGAAATTGTTGGTTGAATGATCCGATCCTTTAAAAAGTGCTCCTCTTTGCTCAATTGTCGTGAGAATTTTTTGTTTTCTTTGGGAAAATAAGATACCAATGCTAACAGGTTGGCAGACATTTCAGTTAGATGTGCCGGAAAACCTRTCAGAATGTGTAGGCTTTTCTTCAGTGTGATTACGCATTGTAGGTGTGTGTGTTCTTGGTAAGCAAGCTGCGTTAGTCGTATGAAGCAGCTGCGCTACACTTCTCTTACCGCCAATTTTAGTTTGATACAATTTAGGGTTATTGTAAGCGCATGAGTTGGTAGAACTTTAAGCTACTTTATTAACAGATTAGCTGAATCTGGATGGACTTTTCTAATAAACAATACTTTACTTAAGGCTCTACATACAAATAAAAATTTATTTAATCTTTAGGTGGCGAAAATCTTCACAAATTCTCAAGAAAATGGCTAAAGGCTTGATTCCTTGTCGAAATATTTGGTTATTTGAGCTGTTCTGAGTCTGGGTTTGGTTAATAGTAGAAATTAGACCAGAAACAAGAGAATGAGTTTTGTGGCTCAACATACATATGTAGATGTTCTGTGATACACAGTTGACTACAAAAAAAGTTTTAAATKACTACAAATACGGAAGAAATGGAGTTTCATGAAAGATCCATGATAACAGTTTAGTACAAAAGAAACGTTTAAAATGACTGAAAATAAGAAAGACGAACCAAAGCGTGCKCAGTGTTATAAAGCAAGGCGTTAAAACTCAAGAAAAAGAAAGAACTGTATCGAAAAATTATCATGAGATCGTTTACTACCATAAATTCAACAATTTAGTTTCGAGAAATACATACTAAAAAAATTAGACAGATAAAGCCAAAATGGAAAATTTACAAGAAATATATCCAAGCAGATTAGTCTCGAGAAAAAAATACAAAAAAAAAAAACAAAAAACAAAGTGATAAAGCCAAAATACTAAAAAATATTGAGAATACCAAAGAATATGTTAAGTTAGAATACCGATAAAAATTCGTAAGGTTATCAAAGAGAAAATTTTTTGGAACAAAAGATAGGCGCATCAAGCCTAGACGAAAATATCATTMTACCTTCAATTAGAGCCCTATATGTAAGTGTTATAAAAATCTAAAAAAATTTCAACCGTTTTATTGCTTTACCCAATTTATGTTCGGGCATACTTTTAATAAAGAAATTCCTGCAATACTGTAATCCAAAATGCAGTATGTAGCGTAACGCTCACCGATGACAGCTACATACATATGTATATGTAGTTACATGAGCATGAGCCCTTGGAAGGACGTGGGAAAATTGAGTGTCTGCATTTAGGGGCTACTCAAATTTTTTCTAAAAAACCAAAAACAAASCACTTGTTGCACTGATTTAAATACTTGTTGCATTTTTCTCACCATAAATATTCCAAAAAGGGATGCTTAACAACGCCTATAAATTTMTTGYTGTTGTTGATCGCATATTTTTAGTATGTGCTGTTTGTTTGTGTTGGGCCACTAATTGCGGCGCATTTTCCYAGAATTGAAAATACGTTAGCAAATTATAATATTAACGATCAACAATGTGCATTTGTTTGTCTGTCTGTCTGTCGATCTGTTTGTGGGAAAAATGCTTCTTTCACTGAGAAATTTCTTTTAAGCCCCCGAGGCGTGAGAATTTCGACCGAAATTCCTTGATTTGCAGAAATAAGACAGCAGGCGCACAGCAAAAATAGCCCARCGTAGTAGCATGCAAGACAAGTTGTAGTAGCAAAGAATGCTGAGTAGGCAACAGGTATCGGAGTTGTTGAAAAGTGATACTCAAAATTCCACATCGCCGCTGTGCGTTACTGATCCTTTTTACTGCGTGCGAATGTATATGGCTGCGTATATGTGTGTGTGTGGGCAGCGYGTGAAGTAATGAAATCGAAATGCCAGCAGCACAGCGTGGGAATGTTTTTTGTCGGCTCGGCTACATAGAACGCAGCGCGCTTAGTTTGGCTTGAGACAAAAATGATCGTATTTCACGCATGAAAACCATAAGAAGGAGTCAAGTGTATTTTCGAAGCAAAAAAAATGTGGTTGGTGGGAAAAAATTCTTTAGTCGCTATCAAATAAAATGGGTGCGTGAGAATTTCAGCTAAATTTAGTTAAATTCATGCTGTGAATTAACAGGCAAACAGTGTGAGTAGCTGGTGACTATAAGSGCATGCAAGGATATGCTGTTGGTAAAAAGATGCAAAAGCGTGTTGATAAACAGCGGTGCAAGCAATACCGAAGTGTTTTGTCAATACCGAAATTTCGGGATTCCGATATTTTAAGCCTGAAACTTAAATGTTGATGCAAAGAGTGTTTATAAACAGCGGTGCAAGCAATACCGAAGTGTTTTGTCAATACCGCATTTTCGGGATCCGATTTTTTAAGCCTGAAACTTAAATGTTGATGCAAAGATTGTTGATAAAAAGCAGTACAAGCAATACCGAAGTGTTTTGTCAACACCGAAATTTCGGGATTTCGAAATTTTAATAGCGAAAATTAAACATTGATGCAAAGACTGTTTATTAGGTAAGCAATATCCTAGTTTCGTCAGTACCGACTTTTAATACCGAAAGTTAAATGTTAATGCAAATTCTTACATATTTTTTATATAAAAAATTTTTATGGGAAAATTTCGTAAAATAATTTTCGGAATCCCGAAATTTTAATCCCGAAAAATCAACTCATATSTCGCCACTAATTGCCTTACATCTTTTTCTACAATTTACCATATTCTTGTGAAAGTCGAGCAGGTAGCA